CCAAATGGAAATCAGGGCAAGCAGGACAGAGAACAGGGTTCAATGCATTCCTTACACAGTGAACAATCTTCAAAAGGTTAATACTTGGACAAAATTATATTGAGTCTGCAATCCCTTCACTGAAAAGAATGGAATTATAAAAAGAGAGTCATATTTTTCTATTGTGCAATTTTATGCAGAATTCATTACTTTGTTCAAATTTTCCCTGCATAATTAATGATTATGTTTTGACAAATTGTAGTTTTGCACTAATTATGTGGCAGATGTTTCTTCCCTGCTACATCTAGAGGAAGACGTGGACGCTACTGACAGTACCACTAATTGTAATTTTATGCTAAAACATTGAAACACAATTTAACTTTCATGTTAGATTATCTCTGTTACTATGAATAACTGGACAGTGAAGTGAGTTGTAAGTACCACACTCAATAGGAGTGCCAATTAGAGCTGTGCGTTGAAATGCCTTATTTCCTTTTGAGATGATTAATTATTATCATCAGTTACTTTAGCCCAGGCTGCAGTGCATAGGGGAAAAGAGTAAAAATTACTTCCATTTCTTTGTCACTCTGCTTGCCTTTGATTCTCTTTTATTTAGGTTTCGTGATCTGAGACTTTGTCTCACTTCGGCAGAATTTCGGCTTCTCGAGCTGGGGTTGGCAATTTTTGCCAAAACAGATGCACTGCAGTAAATAAGGTGGCAGCCCAATGAAGCAAATTGAGAACCTCGTTAATGGCACTAAAAACCTTGTGCCTGGCGCAGTACAGTCAAAAGCTGTCCTGGAAAGGGATTTCCCCCACGTCATTAACTAGTGGTGATCTGACTGCTTCTTGGATTATACGTTTATTTATTTGCATTTTTAGAAAACTGTTGAGAGAGCACCTAGACATTTTCAGTGATCTCTCAGCAGCTAACAAAAACTGAAACTGCTGGAAAAGTCAGTAGGTCTGGCATCATCTGTGGAAAGAAAGAGTTTACACTTTGGGTCCAGTGATGCTTTCTTTGGAACTGATTGGAGCTAGGAGAATGTTGCTATTTATGCTGAAGAAGGGTAAGTCAGGGGAGGAATAGACAATAGTTGGTGATGGAGCCCAGAGAGAAAGAGAAAAACAGTTGGGCAGACAAAGAATGGGTAAAGGTCAGCCTGGGAGAATGAATAGCTGCTAAGGGGGGTCATTAGTGTCTGACAGTGGGTTGTTTGTGGAAGCGGCCCTTGTGATGACAAGACCTGTTGAGTGGGGGTTGCAGTAAGGACATGGAAGAAGGAGCTGAGGTCCTAAAATTATTTAAGACAAAAAATGCTGGAAATCACAGCAGGTCAGGCAGCATCCGTGGAGAGAGAGCTAGCTAATGTTTCCAGTCTATGATGACTCTTCATCAGAGCCGGTTAGCTAGCTGTGACCCGCTGTGATCTCCAGCATTTTTTTTTAGTTTTCAGCATGGATTCGAGCATCTGCAGTAATTTGTTCCTGAAGTTATAGAACTCAATATTGAGTCTGGAAGGCTGCAGTGTCCCCAAGCAGAAAATGAGATGCTGTTCTTTAGCTCTGAGCAGTTTACTTTTCCTGCTGCTCCTGTATGGTTAGATGACCTCGGATCAGCCTTCCAGCTTTGACGACCTACCTGCCACTCTTAATTGCTCATGGAACCCTGTCCCCATACCATTTAAGGGAAGTATCTCTGTGAAAATCTGAAGGCAGTAACTGTTGCCTAATGATGGCCAGATTCGGAACTGAAAACAATTTTGACATCACATTCTGCTGCAAAGTGTAAATTTAGCCATCAATCTCTGTGGCTTAGAATATAATTCACGGACTGATATTGCCAGTTCAATATCTTGGTGAAGAATGTTGCCACTCTGTCTGTCTCTTTATATCTTTCATTTCCTGTTTCTTTATTGGAACATTTCAGATCCTGAGGCGACTTGGGAAGGATATTTCCCCCTTTGGGGGGACCTGGGGGACCGGGGGGACACAACTTATGAATGAGAGAGCTGCCACTTAAGACTGAGACAAATGGAATATTTTTTTCCTCTGATAGTATTTAGTCCGGGGAATTCTCTTTCCCGGAGAGCAGTGGAGGATGGATCTTTGAATATATTTGATGCTGAGTTGGAGATATTTGATTGATGGTTAGTCTATAGTGGCCAGTCAAGAGAGCAGAGTTGAGGCTACAACCAGATCAGCACAAGGTGCTGAATGCTCTACTTGTGCTTCTAATTCTTGTGTTCATGTGTTCCTGTTTCCCATCTCCAAGTCTCCTGGTACCCAGCACACAGTTCCCCTTTCTTTATGCATTAGTACAATTTTGTCCTTTCTGTCTTTTCGTCTCTTTCTATCATTGATTTCCATTTTCCTCAAATCATCTTTCCTTCTGTATTTTCCATTATTTCCCCATTTACACTTTTGTGAAGATCAGAAAGTCAACATTTATATCTCCCAGGGTAAAAAAAAAGTTTCATCCCTCAGGAACAGAGAAATGCTGAAATTCTGGTCAATGTTGCTCAATATCACGCACCGCGGAGGCAATATATTTTGGGGGAGTACAATTGTACAGTCCTTTCGAAGTGAACCAGATCCCCTGTAAAAGCAGGATCAAGGTAAGTTGTCCTCCCAATTCCGAGCCTGGAGTTGAAATCTACTGCAATGTATATTTCTCCTGCAATAGTAAAACCAGAAATGCTGTTGATGTGTCGATATGCTGTCAATAAGATAACGTACTAATGTCCTCTTTCGTATGTAAGCCACAAGCAGGTAACATTCTGTGGCTAGAGGTTTCATTAACAAAATGTCACACTTGCTCGAAAGGTGTAACAATGTCTAAATGGTCACACTTCAGAAACAGATAGCTTGCTGTTTGAGAACTAAACAATAAAACACATTCTGGAGGCCCACACCTAGTCATAGCTGAGATAGAATAGCTGGGTGCCAAGATCATGATTTGGCCAGGCATTGGAAGGTTTGCAATCCAAAAGGTTCCAGAACGTAATCACGCTGAATAAAACATCAAAAGCCTATTAAGAGACGACAAGGTGCAGAGCTGGATGAACACAGCAGGCCAAGCAGCATCATAGGAGCAAAAAGGCTGACGTTTCGGGCCTATCAGAAAATGAAGGGTCTAGGCCCAAAATGTCAGCCTTTTTTGCTCCTATGATGCTGCTTGGCTTGCTGTGTTCATCCAGCTCTGCACCTGTTATCAAAAGCCTATTGAAGTTTTCAACAAGAAGGGATGGAGTATAGTGATTTAAACAAACGGAGGGAAGCCCTGTGTCACGGTTCCTGCCTGTTTCCTGCTCTGCATGGAAGCTGCCTAGTTCAGAGTGCTTTCAAGGTGAGGACATGTCAGAACAGTGTGTGGGAATAATGGCCTCTTGTCCCTAATGAAGAGGTTGGCGCGGAAGGTACGGATGTAGACATGCAAGAGAGCCTTACGCACACAAAGTTGGATTGCAATTCAGTGCAGGCCCCATCATATCAGGAAGACCTTTTTTGACTCTTGACGTTATCTCTGTTCTCTAACTATTTCGGGCACTTCTTTTCCTGAGGTATCTTTGCATTTGTTTGAAATCCTAGCAATGACAATGGAGCTAGTCGTTCACACACTGTGCATACTTTAGCAGTCCTGAGGTCAAAAATATGTCACTGATCACAAAGTATTTGAAGGAATTGTCTATTTCACTGGCAGTGACTGAACTAAACATGTTGGACTCCAACAGGATTTTGTTACACCCAAAGCCTATTTTTTTCCTCTCAGCCTTGTTCTGTTTATCCATTTCTGCTCCCTGAGGTGATGCTAGAATGATATGAAATGCACATTTTGGTCACTGCATTGCAGCAAGGAGAAAGGGTACAGAGGAGAAGGATATGAAGGCTATTGCCAGGAACTGAGAATTTTAGCATTGAGGAAAAAATTGGATAGGCTGGGGTTGTTTTCTTTGTAACAGTCGAGGCTGAGGGGAGATTTAATTGATGTGTATAATATTATGAGGGGCCCAGACAGACTGCTTAGGAAGGGATTATTTCCATGAGCAGAGAGTGTTAAACACTAAAAGTTAACTGAGATAACAGAGTCCAAGATAGTACCTGTAGTGAGGGCATTATTTAAGTTAACCACATTCCATAAAACTTAACCCCACAGATTACAAACACTCCATGTTTGAAACCAACTCTCAACCAATTAACCCCAAAATAATATATCAATCACCTGTTCGCATTTTCCATCAGGTATCCATTCAGATCACATTAGATGCTAACTGAGAATCATAGAATCCCTACAGTGTGGAAGCAGGCCTTTCAGCCCATCAAGTTTACAGCAACCCTCCAAAGAGAATCCCATGCAGACCTATTCCGACCCTATCACTGTAACCTTGCGTTTCCCACGGCTAATCCACCTAGTGTACACTTCCCTGGACAATATTGGCAATTTAGCATAGTCAGTTCACCTGCATATAGTCAATAACCAGATGACAGAGATTTAAAACAGTTAGGAAAAGGATTAGAGGGGGGAGTTGAGTATTAATTTCCTTGCTCACTAGCTGGAGGGCTAGTCAAGTCAGAAATCCTCACCACATTTCCATAAACATTTGGACGTGTGCATGAAGTGTTACAATTGACAGGGTGATTGACCAAGTGGTGGTTGGCTGGATGGCTTTTTCTCTGCTGGCAATGACACGCTGGGCCAACAAGCCTCCTTCTGTGCCTTACGTTTTTGGTGTTTCTGTGTTGCTAAAATTATGCAGATGCTGTAAATCTGAAATAAAAAGAGAAAATGCTGGAAATGTTGTGCAGTTCAGGCGGTATCTGTAGAGAGAGAGAGGATAGCAGTTAACGGTGCAGTTTGACGAATGTGAAGCCATTGATCCAAGCGATTAGTACACATTCATACTCCACAAATATTGCCTGACCTGCTGTGTACTTGCAGCATTATCTGATTTTATTTCACACAAATGGATTGGTCACTTCACTTGCAATGACATTGTACTTGTTCTCTTCTTCTTTTGGAGGCCTGAGTGTTCGAGAGGTCCTTATCAATGTTTCTCGGCAGCAAGTGGAAGATTTTCATGGTCCAGAAGATTACTGGTGTCTTTGCGTAGCTTGGAGTCAACAGGGAACAACGAAAAGCAGAAAAGCTACAGTCCGAATTGCATGTAAGCAGACAAAAGAAAGCAGTGATTACTGATGATCAAATGTTTCACTTCAGCAACACAGACATAGAAACTGAAAGATTGAACTTCACTGTTAACCTATTGTGATGCAGGCCATCTAGGTCTGCCTGCTGTAGGGTAGGCAGTCCATCAAACTGTGATTCTCCCTGAATAATTCCACACTGTAACAATGTGTGAATTACAGAGTATGAGTAATAGCATTAGGCTACAGGCGCTGAATAATGCATAGGCCAGTTTTTTGCACTTTGACAGACTTGTAATGACTTGCACTCCAGAATACGCACTTTAAGAGATAAATGCCACCCTGAAATGAGGTGGAAGATTTCCATTCTGTGCTTGGTTCAGTGCAATAGAGAGCCTGCTTTGTATAATACAGATATTTGAAACTAGATTCCTGGTGGTGGGTGAAATTCATCTCTGTGGGCGGATGATTCAAGCTGTTTGATAGCTATTTGCTAGCCAGTTTTACTTCTGTCTTAATTCTCTTTTCCATTGACTTGATGTAAAGAATGATTGGGCAGGGTATTTAAAAAAAAGTAGTGCTGATTCCTTTCCATTGCCCCATTTTCAAAAACAACGCACCTGAAATGACCACAGGAGTGAACCACTTTCATCACCCTGTACCTCAGATATGCATAAAGTCATGGCTTAATACAGGTTCAGTCAGCAAGCATTTATTTCCTTCATCATTCAATCCCCAGTAATTGTTGACTTGAGCACTTATTATTTCTGCAGACAAATATTGCAGACTTTTCTTTACAATAGCCAAACTGTTTGTCTCTGTGTACCTGATACAGTAACAAGGAAGCTGGAGCATTTTGGAATTTATAGGGGTCCTCCAGAAGTGTAATCAGGATTTACAGTGGGCCCTTGGGATTTGCCAGTATTTGCACGGAGTCCTCAGATGGTGATAGTCTCTGTAGGGATTGCCTTGGATTATGCCAGTACTTGCAGGGGTCTTTGGAAGTGTGTCAGTTTTTGTTAGGTACTCTGTTGTGTTTCTGTTATGAGGAGAAATATCAAAGAGGAGTCTTGATTTCTTTGTTCAGCAGCACAAGCGACCTTTATTCAGAGCTCTTTTACCATACATGTGGGAGAAGCCAGAGAGCCCTCTGAACCTGGCTTTCACAGGGGGTCCAGTTGCCCTCTTAATATCGGCTCAGATCAAAGGAGAGGTCAGTGACACTCTGGTTTCCCCAGCTTAGTACAGTATTTTTTATTCATTTTGCATTACAATAATTACTCGCAATTTTAATGTCATTGTTCCATCTCCCTAATCTATACATCCAATTCTGTAAAACACTAAATAAATGATGGGACACCCCTATTGATAGCCCTAGGTTCTCCATGATGTCATGCGCTGTTTACCAGACCCCGTTATCATCACTTCTTGGGAATTTACAATGTATGCCATTAAGTTACATTCCAGTGTTAACAGTTACAGTCTTTCTCAGAAATTTGCCAGACTTGTTGATCTCTAAAGCCTGTGGGAATTCTGTCATTCATTGTATTCCTTGCTATCCTTATCAAATTCTGTTACTCATCTTATATTTCCTACTATCCTGATTACAGGAGATACAAAAAGATGCTAATTCCTCCTAATTGCTATAAAATTCATAATATAAAATTAAATGGTTATACCTGATGTTAGAATTCTTCAGCCAATGAATTGTGAGCAGCTTCTGTCTCACCTGACCTTGGAAGGTCAGGTAAACACTGCCCCCTATCTTGCAGCTACAACTGTAACTCCTTCTATTGACATGTTGTCTGCAAGTCTGTTTTACATATGAGATTGCTTCTGGGATGAAATTTACTGACCTTACCCTAAATGTTTCTACACAAACTCTTTTGCTGAATAAGACAGCATCTATACAGATAGCATCTATACAGATTCCATTAATAAGACTGAAACTCAATCACTTTTACTGTTCAGTAAACTTGTCTGACCTCCTCAGGTTTTATAAGATGTAATCTCGTTCTCCTTTTGTCATTTGTCTCTTTTTTTATGGGATCATACTTTTCTTTCAGTTCTTGCTGAACTAAAAACTTTGGCCTTCTCTGTTCCAGCCATCTCTTATCAGACTGCCACTTGCAGACATCTGCAGCTGTGGGTTTGTATAGAACTCCCTGTATATTAATTTGTCACATTCTTTGATCCCTGGATTTATCTTATTCTCAAAGCCACTATTGTCCTAACTTGTGATCTTACTTTAATTCTAATCTAATTCTGTCACTGCAGCTGAAAATCTTCTTTGACATATTTATGCTGCTGAAAGTCGATGGGCACCCATCTTGTGCCAGCTCTGGCCAGGGGCTGCCCCATCAGTGAGCATCAATTCAATGAGTGGAGCCTGACCAATTTCAGTTGGAGCTCGTTGCTGTGTGTTACAGGGCTTAAGTGTTCCAACAAAATGTTGTAGATGACAAAGAGCGAGGAGCTATAAGTAAAAATGGTCAGGATCCATCAATTGCAATTCCAGTTGTCGAGGCCATATTTGCAGCTGGTCCTTGCAAATACCCACACATTCCCAAGGACCAGCTGCAAATACCGCAGATGACAAAAAGCTGAAACAAACATGGCTGAAATCATGCAGTAAGTCCGGCAACTTCTATGGTGAGAACAGACATGTTAGCATTTTAAAATTCAAAGGCTGTGCTCCAAATAGAGTAGTCAAGCCTTCATCGTGTGAATTTTTCTTTCTTCCACCTGTTGTGCAGTGCATTGCCTAGTCACATTCCGAGTGAGATGGATGTATGCATGACATAATCAAGAAGGATGTTGCTGATGATTCAGAACAGAGCACTTAAGATCAGCATTTGGGCCTTGAGGAAAAGAGCTGAAACCCCAGCAATCATTCCTTTCCCCAAAATATCCTTCGTTTCTAAGGTTTGTGAAAGCACATTACAAAACTTGGAAATTTCATAATTTGCAATAAAATTCAACTTGTCTCCAAGTTCTGGCATGTTCAGTGGTGCCTGAATACAATTGTCATTCTCTTGATATTTACAAATACGTTCCATGTCAGGCATACAGCGCAGTGGAAAACTTTTTAAAATGACCTTTCAGAAATTACAATTGGAATAATGCCTATATTATACTGCGAGGTGCCTCAATACCATTTATAGTGAAGTTCCAAACAAATGATCTCACTCTATTTACCATGTCAGACATGTTGCTACTTCTATTGACCTCCTCATGTTGGGATATCAAAGTCAATTGTAGTACTCACTCCTAATAAGGCTCAATATGCAAATGATTCAGTCCAGAAGTTTTATTTGCAGTCACACTTTGGAAAGGGACAAGACCTCCTGTGAACTTTGTGGTAAATGTGGTGATTGATGAGTTTTCTTGGTTACGAAAGTGTCACAAAGTAATTACTGTTGTGAACCAGTTGCTGTCTTTGAGGATTCAGATCAATGTCGATCCACCTGTTCTTTGAACAATGACAATCATAAACTGAAGGTCTTGACCTAAGTCTGTCTTGCACGACAGTTCAATTCACCTGTGGTTGTTTTCCTTCCTGGAGTGGGGAAATGGAGGGTGCTAATTTTAAACAAGTCTATGGAATTATGACTGATTTAGATATCGTCAAAAAGAAGAGTTATTAATTTGAGTTGATGGTGTAGGCCCTTGGCGACATGGACTTGACACAGACGAATAATGCAGGCGGGCTATGAGGAAGGATCATTTGATAGAGCAGAGGTGGTGGCGATGTGAAACACATTGCCTTTGAGGTTAGTGAAAGAGGAGACAATGAACGGTTTCAAAACAAAAATTGAATGAGCAGTTGAAGGAAATAAACTGGCAGAGGTTGGGACTGATGGGGTTGCTGTACAGATAACCAGAATAAGCTTGATGGGAAATATGGCCATGTTCTCTGAACACTGACCAATAAATATGAGTTGGGCAGCACACCAGAGTTCATCACTGTCTGTCACAAGCAAAATAATTTGAGGCTTTTAAATCCCTTTTTTTGTGGTTGGATGAGCACAATATGTGAGCATTTTGTCTGTTTCCTCCTAGTAAAGCACCAAAATGTAATATTGTTATTTAATTCTTGGAATATGCCTTTTGGCATTGGCTGACATTTGATTGCCCCTCCTTTGTTACCTTGAGAAGATTGCAATGGGTCATCTTTCTTTAAGTCAAATGTCTGAGTACTGTGTATAAAAAAAAAACAAGGCTTTCTGGTCTCTTTAAAAAGTTGTCGCCTCATTTTTTATGATCATGTTCTTGGAAACTGTATTCATCAGTTGCAATCAGTACCAATTGCAATTCAGTTACATTCAATTCTTGGAATGATTGGAATCACAGAATGAAACTGAGCAGAAGGAGGCTGATGGGCACGTTACATCTCTGGCAATTTTTTTTTGAAAGCTTCGCAACTTGTCCCAATCTATCTGCATGATCCTGCAATTTTCTTCTTCTTGTTCAAGTATTTACCCATTTCAGATGGAAATTTACCCTGAATCTGCTTGAACCATCTTCTTAGGCAGGGTATTCAAGGTCGTAACAACGAACACGCAAAGTGAAAAATGACTGAACAGAACAATTGTGGTTTAGGGAGACGGGGTTTTAATTAAAAGTGAGCTGCAATGTTAGTTGCCAAGACTTTACAAATGAACTGCTCATACTTCTTAGGTTCCTTTGTTTGAAAGTACTGTGAGTTCATAAAGGAGTCACAGTGGGATTAGAAACTCAATCTCCCATTGCGAGTGAAAATCAGTCACAGAGTTCTAAAGTAAACTAGGCTCACACCATTTATTTTTGTCCAACAGATTTGAGGAAAAATTTTGAACAAGATCCCCAGGCAAAAGAGGTTCCCCTGGAAGGAAAGATCATTTTGCACTGTCGTCCCCCCGAGGGAGTCCCTTCTGCCAAGGTAAGGAGCAGCTTTTGATGTGCCACAGACAGATATAATTTAAGAAGCTCAGTGAATATGTTTCTTGCTTCCCTGACAAAGTGTTTTTACAATGCCCTCTCGATTATCCATGTGCACCATTACCTGAAAGGCGTTTTTTTTTCTGCAACTTATGCTCTGATCATTCAGTTGTGTATTTTTATTTGATTTTCACATGCACAGCAGGATTGTTTAACTGGATTTCCAGTACCTGGTAGAATTCGCTATCATACAGCGTTGATATTTAGCTTCAGATCTGAGAGCAGCAGGAGTCAGGCTGCTAGCATCTTTTTGAAAAATAACTCATTTTTAAAATGGATAAAAAGTAGGCCTTGTCAGTACCTGCTGGGGACTTGATTGGATAAAAGAAAGAAGCATTCTCATTTATGTATAATGTTTTATCTCAGAGAAACATAAGGCACTTCATTCAAAGGGGTTGAATTGTTTTTATGCCTGTTGTAGTCAGAAACATTTGCCATGATGTGCACAGCACGACCCCACAAAGAGAGTGACTGGTTCATCTGGTCATAGGAGTGAACATACAAAGCAGCAGCAGAAGTAGATCACTGAACCCATGCAGCCTTCTCTGCCATTCAGTCAGATCATGATTGATCTGCTTTTGTTTGCACATTCCCATCCACTTTGGCTAACCTTGGAGTCCTTGGTCGACAAGAATCTGTCTACCTCTGATTTCAAAATATTAGGGACCCTTGCCTCCACATCTTTCTGTGCCAAATGATTCCAAAGTCCATAAGATATACGAGCATAAGTAAGCCATTTGGCCCATGGAGTCTGCTCTAGTGTTCAATCATGGTTGATAAGTCGCACAACTGTCTGAGAGAAAAGCATTCTCCTCATCTCTAATCCTATAAGGGCAACGCCTAATTTTGAAACAACGTCACCTGTTTTCAAACTGACCCACAAGAGGAAACATCTTATGCATGTCCACCTTGTCAAGACCATTGAGGATCAGATCATTAAAAAAAGAGTAGGAGCAGAATTAGGCCATTCAGCCCATTGAGTTTGCTATGCCATTCAGTGAGGGCATGGCTGATTTGTTAATCCTGAGCTCCCCTTTCCTGCTTTATCCCCATAACGATTGATTCCCTTGCAGATCCAAAATTGGTTAATTTCAGCATTGAATATGCTTAAGGATCTAGCCTCTATGGTCCTCTGTGCTAAAGAATTCCACAGATTCACTCCCCGAGAGAAGAAATCCCTTCTCACTTCTGTCTTAACTGGGCGATCTCACACTATGCGATTATGCCCTCTGATCCTAGATTCTCCCATAAGGTGAAACAATGTCTCAGCATCTACCCTGTCAAGTCTCCAAAAAAATTAAAATATTTCAATTGCATCTCCTCTCATTCTCCTCACCTCCAAACAGTACAAGCCCAAACTGTACATGCTTTGTGTCATTCTCAATACTTGCTTTTCCACCTGTTTTGTGTTATCCGCAAACATGATGATTGTATATTCACTTCCCTCATCCAAGTCTCAATGTAGATTGTAAATAATTGAGGCACTACTAGTGTTCCCTCTGGCACTCCACTCATTATAAGGTTGTCATTCTGAAAGTGCCCCTGTTCTTCCAACTTTCTCTTCTATTAGGAAGTCACTTCTTGATCTTGAGTAAAATATTACTCCCAACCCGATTAGCACTTATCATCTTAACTAGCCGAATAGGCAGATCCTGATCAACTGCCTTTTGGAACCCAAATATATTGTACACTTCAATCACGTCACCCATCTTTCAAACTCCAGAGGAAACAAATCCAGCCTATCCAAGCTAATCATCTCAAGACAACCCGCTCATTCCAGGTATTACTCAAGTAAACTTCCCCTGAACGATCCCCTATGTATTTACATCCTTCCTTAACAAAGGAGACCAAAAATGTACACAGTATTCAGATGTGGTTTCACCAATGCCCTGTATAATTAAGATTTGGAGCTGAGGCGAAGGAAATCTTGTTTCCGAGAGAACTGTGGAATTTATTTGCAGAATTAGTGACTGTGACACAAATTATGTCAACATTCAAATCTAGTTTGGTTAAGTGTAAAATGGAAAAGATTTTGAACAAGTCAAAGAGATATGATTTGAACTGTTTTGTCATTTGGAGAGTAAACCATAACATGCACTGATTGGGCCAAATGAGTTGTTCCTGTGCTACAACCTCTATATATCTATCTTGTAGTTTCTAGAAATGTGATTCCTACTGAGCTAAACTCGTGCTAAAAATCCACATGATTTTATATCAACTTTACTTCAATTCTTATGCTACATTTGCCTTTTAATAGAATTCAAGGAAAATTCCATTAACTGTCTAATTACGCCATTTCATTTGTTGTCAGCAAAAATGTCTTTGTGTTCTAACTCATTGAAAGGCACTGTCCAATTCACAAAAGCATTTTGTTCTATTTGTATCTCTGTGCTCATCCGTCACAATTTCAGACAAGGGAAAGCTGCATAATTATGGGACGTCTCTTGTTTGTCCAGGAGGAATGAGGCAGTAAACATTCTTTCCATAATTTAATTAAAGTGTATATTCTGTCAGCCTCCATTTGGCAACTTTCCCAGATAATTACATTTTAGGTTCCAACGACAATGCTTTGCACATGCCTACATGTAATATATTCAAAACCTTCCTGCTGGATAGATGTGGAAAATCCAACTGCAATTCGCATGTCCTTCAGGAAATGGAACTTTGCCTTTAGCTATGTATTGCCACCATCTCAACTATGCTTTCACCTCTGGACATTTGCACACCCTTATTCAAATATCGCTGACCCTTGAAACTGGCTTCATCTGAAGATTGACTTTTCTCAATAAGTGTTTTTTTTTCATTCATTCAAGGACACTGGGTTTTGCCACTCAGCCCCTTGGGGTTAGGGTTAGGGATTGGGGTTAGGGATTGGGGTTAGGGTTAGGGGTTAGGGTTAAGGGTTAGGGTTAGGGGTTAAGGGTTAGGGGTTAGGGTTAGGGTTAGGGTCATTTGAGACAGCACTTGAGAATCAACCACACATGTCTCTGGCTCTGGAGTCATAAATCTACCAGATTGGCTGAGTACGGCAAAGTTCCTTATTTGAAGGTCATCAGTTTTTTTTTAACCTCAGTTCTGTAGTTTAATGATCATCATTACCAAGGTTGGCTTCTTATTCCAAATTCATTTGATTTACTGAATTTAAAGTCCTATGATGCCGTGATGGGATTCAAATCCACATCAGCTAATCATCCAGTCAAGCCTCTGATTACATATTCAATGGCATAACCACTGTCTTATCTTGCTCCCATTCAGAAAATATAAAAATATTATCAGTAAATGGTCGCTTTTCATTTCAGTGCAAGTGTATCTCAATTTGTGTGACATTTTACTCAGTTGCAAGCCCTCTGATTCCATGTGCAACTAATGCATATTGGACTGTCCCTTTGTCTGTCCATTTGCTCTCTATTTTAAAACTGCTTAAATTTCAGTCTGCTGGCAAGTTGCAGACCATACATTTTGGTGACCTGGATCTTGAAGCCCAGTCCTGTGCTTCTTGTTCAGGTTTGCTGCTTTGTCCTATTTGAATAGCTCAATGTCAACCATGATCTAAGTGAATAGCACATCAGGCTCGAGGCGTTGAATAACTTACCCCGCTCCTATTTCTCATGTTCTAACTGTTGGTCATGGTTGAATTTTGGTTTGGTGGTCAATAAAACCCTAATTGGAATGGCAAGAGCTCTTAGCTCTAGTGATACGAGAGATTGAAAATGAATCAGAGCATTTAATATGGACCAGCATTAGCTGCAAGACTGAGGCACCTCTGCTCTTAAGAAAAATCACAATCACTCCACAACCTCTTTGACTGCAAAACGAACTTTCGCGGATAAATCTGTGTTTCAAACTCTTTAACCTAGCCTCTGCAACAGACAATAGTTGATGGAGTTCCAAATCTCAACATTTGCGTGGAGAAGAAGGTCATGGATTAGTTTGGAACAGAGAATAAGAGATTGATATGGGCTTTTGGAGGTTTGAATATCACAAGGAAATGACATTAAGTTCCATGTCAATTAGAAATCTTTGTGATTTGCCCGTTGTGTTCGATGAATATGTCCAACTCAAATTACTGCGCACAAATGCTCCAATAGTGCCTGAATTGCCAAAGTGGAATGCAGATGGATATGTGTGCTAGTTGATGATAATGTCCCATCTGCTGTCTTCACAGAGCTCAGAGAACCCTGTGGAGCACCAGTCACACTGGAGGAACAGCACACAGTCATCACCGTCTGCACTCCCTGCAGAAACATAGGCAGCTACACTAAAATGCAGGGGTTGGTGCTCCTGACGAAGTGCAGGATTGGGAAGGGTTAGCAATTCTAAAGAGCCTGCTGGTACAGAGCAAAGGCCCAGCATGCTGACTGCCAGCTTTACAGGGACGCAGATCTGCATTAGTCTGCTTGCAAAATGTGCCTGCTGGAGAAGTAGGCCAATAAAAGGAATGAAAAAAACTTACATTTTAAGAATGCCTTTCACACATAAGCTTTACAATGCCCTGAAATTTCGTCCTGTGAAATTCTGTCACTTTGGTAATGGGAACAGCCTCTTAAGCCTCTTCCACCATTCAGCGAGGTTATTGCTGATCTGTATCTGAAGTCAATCTACCTGACTTGGTTCTGTATCCTGCGGTTGCTCAGGTGACCAAAATAATACATAGCGTCTGATTACAGTAATTGGTGGTGAGGAGAGAAGGATGTTAGGCGTTAGACATTAGACATGAGACTCACACACAAAGAACACCTGCGGTTTTTTTTTTACTGAGATGAACCATGAGCTTATACAGCAATTGTTCATTCTTTCATCGGTGTCATCTTCTTCCCAGAATGTTAGCTGAACAACGATAGGGAGCCTAATTCTAAATGTCGTGTGGAAATGTGAGCCCAGTCATGGATTAGTCTAACATCTTTCAGGACCTTGGGATCCCAAAGCAGTTTACAATGAATG